TTGGACCCAATCCTTCTTATCTTTTTCGATAATCCTCTGATGTAGGGAAGTACAAGTACTGGTTGTGGCGGCTTCTCTTCCTTGTGGAGCTCTTGCTAGCTTCTTCTAGCTTCTAGGAGTTGTCAACGATGAAGCTATTTATACTGCGGTTTTAGGGCACGTTGGACTAATGGAAAATTCGCAATCTCTTACTAAGCTATCTCAAGATAGCTAAAATTTGTTTTTCGGATGAATTCACGTTTAGTTTGAATGGAGAGGGGAATCGGCAAAATTGTCGATATTGGAGTGATAAGAATCCTCATATATACCGTCAAGTTCATACCCAACGACCTCAAAAACATAAATGTATGGGCAGGAATTTTAGGTGACCACATCATAGAACCTTTTTTTATCGACGATAATTTGACTAGTGATACATTTTTGGATATTTTGGAGAATCGAATAATACCGTGCATCAATAGGACAATTGAGGAGGATATAAATAATTCGGAAACGAAATAGTTTTTCAGCAGGCTGGTGCACCTCGTCAGTATGTCCGGATCTCACTCCTGTAGATTTTTTTTCTATGGGGTGATTTGAAGTCTAAAGTGTATAAGATAGAATCAAAATTAGAAGATTTGAGAGAGAATATCATGAGGTATTGCAGAGAAATAACTCCCGAGATTCTCAACCATATGAGGGCGGCAATGAAAGCTCGTTTGTAACATTATGTGGAGGAAGTTGGTGGAAACGTTTTTGAACATTTACCATAGAACATTTTTTTCCTCTTATTTTCTCTAGTCATCAAATTTTGATTCAAGAATTAATAAAAAATCTTTTTTTCTGATTTATTGCTTCCATATTTGTCTCTAGAACGAATATTTCAAAATGTGGCCTCCTGTATAATTATTGACCCGTTTTTTATTTTTGGGGGCGTCCATAAATTACGTGAGGTGTTTTTTTTAATTTTCTGTCCCTCCCTCCCCCCCTGGTGAGATGTGAAATTTTACACAACCCCCTCCCCCATCCCCCAATCTCACGTGAGATTTTTCAAAATGTGGGTTTCTTACGTAAACAGGTTAGATGGTTATTGTAAAAAGAAAAAAAATTTGATTCGTGCTTTTATTTACGACTAGTTAAGACTAGTAAGTTTAATTATAAGTGTAATAAAAATTTAACAATAGAATACTTAAATCGTAACTACTGTGATTAAAAAAAGAATATCTACTCTAATTCAGTCCATGGAGAATCATGCGCGGTCTCAAGAGAGACTATTGGAACCAATATGTCCATATGAGCTCGTACGCTGTCGTTCATAGGGTCGCGTGTTCGGCTGACAGTGGCGCGAAAACAAAGGACGGGCTACACTGTACCGTAAATTCAGATTAAATTGAGCTATTTAGTATAAAACAAATATGGTGGTTTGACAGTCAGTAGATGTATAACGTCGAAGTATGAATGAAATTATTTTCTTTCGAACGAATTAGTGAATGATCTTAATCGTATTACGATTACGCTTAAGATTAAATCTTAAGCATGTACAATCTGGATTAAATAGACCAAAATAGTATAATTTTTTTGTTTCAATCAGAAAAAAAATTGCGTGATATTCGCCGTGACCCCCCCTCTCTCCAACGTAAGATTAGATGAGATTTGACTCGACCCCCTTCCCCCCCCTTGAACACCTCACGTAATTTATGGACGCCCCCTTTCCTGCAAATCATTATTTCAAAAGTTATTCAGGGTGGCTCGTTATCAACTCAAATAATTTGTAGCTCCATAAACTTCAGACCATATGTTTTATACTTTGTTGAAATCTGCTTATCATGGAGAATCTGACAATGCGAAACATTTAAAACTCAAATAATTTGTAGCTCCATAAACTTCAGACCATATGTTTTATACTTTGTTGAAATCTGCTTATCATGGAGAATCTAACAATGCGAAACATTTAAAAAAAAAATGGTGACATGCTCTGGGGTGCCATAGGGGAAGTTACATCAAATGTGAATATGTCAAAATGTGTCCCCCTGTATACTATTGTCGACGTGTTTTTTTATTTTTCCTGAAAATCATTGTACCAAAAGTTATTCAAGGTGGCTCGTTTCTAATGGAATGCACTGTATATGGTATTGCGTTATTCACTCTTTCATTATAGTATCCTGTTATTGCTTCCCAACTAATTGCTGGGATTGAAGTTGCGTCATTCGATTTGGATGGTAAAAATATTTCATGACAAAAATGCTTTCTTTAAACCTTGACGCGGATGTTTGACGTCATTCGGGATTTTTCCGTCTTTGGGCGAAGAAGTTTAAAATTCAGTTCGATGTTTGAGTTAACATAAACGGGCTGATAAACGATCTGATTAAATGCGATGGTGTTGTAGGGTCACTAAAAGGGTTCATTGATGAGAGTGAGATACTTTTCCTTGCATGAACATTTTGTGAATAGCAATACAGAGTATGACGAACGTAGGCTTTTGTCTTTTAATACTGAGCCCTTTTCAATATTTTCATTGTTACGTTAATCAGGGAAACTCCTATTTCCTTATCGAAAAATATTTTTCAATCTGCCATGTGTCTAACAGTAATCTACAAAGACCGCAGATCGAACTTGATGGAGCTCACAGGCTTACAAGAGGAAATTGATAATAGTTCTTCTCCACTTTTCCAAAGTTTTACAGACAAATAATTGTAAAACAATTAGAGATTTAAACATTTCAATACTTCAATACTCAGTACTTTCAGTACTGAGAAATTGAATTATTCTTCTGTTATAGAACCAATTTATACCACAGAGTAGGTATTAAAAAATTGGATACATTTTTTCAATTCGAGGAAAAGGTGAAATGCAACTGACTTGAAATATTTTGTCAGCGAAGGACAGTTAAGAGTTAAGTTAAGAGTTTAAATGTACTCCTAGTGAGAGAGAAGACAATGGAATAACGTAACTTCTTGAGCAACCCTGTTGGTTCAGACCAGGCACTGTCAAATGTTCTAATATTATGTTGCATACAAATCGCTGTACTTCAATGACTTTCGCAAACAAAACTTCAATACTAGTTTTGTAGTTGTAATATATTTGTCAGTTTCTCACCCCCATTTCCACAAAGTCCCCCATTTCCACAAACCCCTGCAAAGTCAGCATTTGATATTTGAATTATTGCACTCCATAATTCAAGAGAGTAACTATACCAAAACAACTTAGTTCGGTAATGTTCTCGATAAAATTATACATTTACTGCGAGGCAGCAGGAAATAATACATGCTCAGGAAATTATAGAAATGTTTTGCTCCATCGATATCGGGAATTTCCTCTGAACTCCACAATACTCATTATTTATGTCTGAGCTTGAATGGCTTTAGAGTTTCTCCAGTTTTGTTGTATCTCTGGTAGTTGACTCTCGTTGCTGATTTATTGATAAAACGAATTTTTGTGAGCAAACGAGCAAACATGATATTATGAAATCTCGACATATACTCTTATTTTCGACAATTTTCTTTCATTTCTGACTTCAAATACTTTTCAAGAGAACAATTATTGAACAGTAAACGGAACAGAGAAGACTTCAATAAGGAATATTAACAAAATTCATGAAAACATTAAATTCACTGTAATGATAATAATAATGATAATAATTGTCTCAGCTGTAGTTACATACAAATATTTACATAAATAACAGAGCTAGTTGCTGATGTAACAAAAGACGAAGTTCAACTCAGCACAAGTGCTACTGAGTTGTTGACTATTGGACTATTTAGGCCTGTATTTCGGAAAGTTGACACACCCAGCTGTAAATTTGTATAAACTTTGTATTTTGGCATCATAAAAGTATTCTCAAAATTCACATATGATTCGACGGCCGCAACTTCAAAAATTGAGGATCAAAAGTCAAAAAAACCGACTTTTTGCACTTTTTTTGCCAATATCTCGTTTTCAATGGGTTTTATACTAATTGTATGCATTATCAATATTGTAGAGAATTAAATTCTCTACAACTTTTGTTTAATTTATTTTCAATCAAGTATCAATTTATTTAATAACACTTACCTGACGTTGGAAAGCTAGTCAAAAATAATAAAAACAAAACATCCAAACTCGAGAAACCAGGAATATATGAATTAAATTGTGAAACTTGCCCTAATGTACATATTGGTCAAATCGGCAGAACATTCAGAAATCGCATCCAGGAACATCATATACGCTATGTAAATAAAAAACAAGTTCAACATTTTCAAATCATCTTTTAGAAGAAAATCATGTATTTGATGGAGATTTTGAAATTTTGCACATAGAAAATTAAGATTCAAACTTGAATCATTCGGAAACATTAGAAATTAATAAATGGCCAATGGCCTGAATGGTCAACTGAATTTAAATGGATCATCATTACCGAACTTGTTTTCTCAGAAACCGATGTTATCTAGACATATTATTATTGATGAAGATGTAATTTATGCAATAGGTAATTATAATTGACTATGTATCTGAGCAAGTAGTTCTCACTAGTGATTACGTGGGGTATATAAAAGTTAGAGGGCAGAATTAGTTTTCAGTATGTTATTCGATACGAAAAAGCTACTGTGATAGCGAAACATGTGATATTTTTGAAAATAAAATTTGTGAAAAGCAAATCCGGTGTATTTTGTTAAATTTTTCAACATACCATATAGTTAAATAACGATAATTTCGTACTTGAAGTCACGAAACTAAAAATGTATCATTGTATTAACATTGTGAATTTTTTAGATTTATTGGAAAACATTCGGTTTTGAAAAAAAATCGTTTTAATAGCTTAGTTTTATTTTTATTTGTGTTTATTATTGTGAATGCTTCTATTTGAAAATGTTAACAAAACAGTAACTGATAACTGTAATTTGATTTCGATCATGTTATATTTTTAAATTTTTTGGAAAATGAGCCAGAGAAAATCGAATCTCAGAATCAACGGGCTATGAAATTTTCTCTTTTCATCTGACATTTTCAGTCTATAAAATATCTTTGCTTGGGTGAATACTTACGGGCAAACTTTTTCTAAATCTGATTTGCTGGATATGAAAGAGGTCAGACCATCAAATACTGTAAGGGGCTTAGCACATTCCATCAACTGCTCCGGATTACAATGTTCATGACCCTTGACCTTGGTAGTTATAACTGAAAAAGAGAAAAATCTATTCAATATGAGAGGACTTGAAATCATATCGTATTCAATAGAAAACGTATTGGCTGATCAGAATTATATATAAATCTGATACACTTAATTTGATGAAACCGGCAAAATAATAATCGAATATACAGGCCATCATATAACCGGTTATGAAAGGACCATAATGTGATGAAATGTTTGTCATCGGATTTTCTATATATTACAAATTTAATCTGTTCTAGCTATTTCATATGTTTGAATATTACTGGAGTTTTATCTCAACAACAAAACGTTACTTTAACACAACGACACGTGTTTCGATCACCAAGTGACCTTCTTCAAGAGGAAGATGAATCAGTTTAATTTACACCAAAGGTTCCAAACAGTGCATCACAAGTACATTTCATATGTTTGTTATATGTTATATTCAACATTAAATTTAATTGTTCCGAAGTAGAATACTGTCTTTGACCTTTTAAACTTTGGATCTCTTCTTCATTTCTTTTAAAAATATATACTGATATGAACTATGACTGAATTTTTGGCGTAAAATGAATTTTTCACAAACGTTACTCTCATACAATAGAACTGCAAAACAATAAGTTGTGGAAACTTCGAGGAAGTATGTTGGAAAAACTGAACGAGCTATTGAATCTCGTTCAAGAGAACACGCGGCGCTTATACAATTTCGAAGACCAGAAAAGTCGCTGTTGAATATATATAAAAAATGACGCCCTGATATATTTGAAATATGTACCTACGGATTTTTCAACTGAAATTGATCCATTAGAATTTCCTACTTCTGTACCCGGAACTTCTTTCACAGTGAAGCTTTCTAAACGTCTGTTAAACCAGTATTATCTGTTCTTGAAGTTTCAGATGTGGATGACGAAAGTGCACATTGATTTAAATTACTTTTCAAATAAAGATCTTAAAAACACGCATGACAAAATCATTGCAATTACATAATAAATTGTACCAATTTCCACAATTGGATATCTGTTTTTTATCAAGCACACTATCAAAAGGTCAATTATGTGTCGACTTTTTTCAGATTTTGGTGCTTCAGAACTATTTTTCATTTTTTCTCACACTGACATCAAATATGAAGGTAACTGATATACTATGCCTGATATACTATCATTATATAAAAGCAAACTTCTGAAAATTTGAATGATTGAATGGAAACAAGGATACATAGATATCACCACTAAACCCTAGTTTGGTTCGGTCCGTACATTTTTATATTGAGAATACATAACTAATACTCTGTAAACAAATTATTACATTGTATTGCCCAATTATAGTGATCTATTTGTATTGTGTTATTTGATATTTGTATTAAGTAGCTTTAAAGCTAAATAATATAATAATAATAAAAATAATATTTAAATAAATCAGGTTAGACCTACGAAGTGGAGAATTCTACTTGTTTGTGAGACATAAATGATAATAAAATACAAGTAACAATACAGTTTTTAGGTATACAAATGTATAAAGTTGAAATATATATGAAATAGAAATAAAACATGAATTGATACAAAGACATTGATTAGTATATGTAAACATACTTTTCAAACTAACAGATGCAGCACAGATGCAGGACAATTATAAAATAAAATTTTAAAATAAAACTTTTAAAGTGAACACGAAAGTTACAGAAAATAGTCCAATAGTTTAAGTTTCAACAGTAAAAAATCAAAATCACGAGCATTTGTGACCTATGTTTTCAATTATATTTCTTATTTCTTTCCGTGGTGTATTTATCAATAAGATTTTTAGTTTTATCCTAAAATTATGAAAATTTTATTGATTTCGCAAGTCTTGTTACAGATATATTGAATACTTTGTGCCCTAAATAACAAGAGTTCTTATGTCCTATTGACTTTTTCGAACAAGGTAATAAAATTGCCTGTTTGTTTCGTGTGGAATAGTTATGACAGGAGTATATCAGATTAGATTTGTTCTTATATTGAACGATGTGTAAATTCATGAAGTACAACTGTCTGGGATCAAAGATTTCTGACTCGGCATATAAAAGGTGTCACTATGGTAATCAAAGTTTTTTTTTCAGGAGACATCTGAGGAACCGTTTTTGAATTACTTCTAGAGCATTAAGGTAAATTTTGGAAACTACACCCCAACCAACTATTCCATAATTTATATGGGATTCTACTCACTATATTTCAATTATTTGTTGTGAATACATAACGGCACTCCTAACACATTTACTACAATAAAATTTGTAACTTCGATACGTGAAATAAACAACGCGAATCTAAAAATAAAAATAATCGTTCGTACTTTAGGACAGACAACAGAAAACTCCATTCCAGTGAGTTGAACATGTTCAAAACTTGGAAGACACTTGACAATACTCGTATTTCAAAGTTGGATCTAATTTCTTGAAACTGGAACATGTGACATCGTAGGAAAATTCAATATTTTCAGGTTACCTAGAGCAAACTTTCTGTGCTTAAATTACCTATGTGTTTGTATTACTGTCCAAAGTTCTTAACTTCGTTAGCACAAGGCTGTGTCACACTTATTATTGTATTAACTTCTATCTTCAGGTTTGGTCTATGCCAGACAGACGCGGTAACAAACTTTACCAACAACGTCAACAAAGTTTTCGCCGAGATAAATAATATAAACTATTCCTAGGAATCCGACTCACGGTTATTAGGAAAGAGGCGAAATAAACTGTCGAGGATTCTGTACCAGCTTCTGGTGAACTGACAAGAATTGAAAGTTAATTCGAAATCGAAATCACACTAAAAAAAATTCGTGAAAGATGACGAATATATGGTCTATAACAACTGATGATTGAGAAAAATAATGCACTACAGTATTATTACTAAACTAATATTTATATGAAAATTCAAGGATTCGATTCAATTTGTTTGAAAAAGCCTTTTGTTGAAGTCAGAACAAGAAGGTAAAGATTTCGCTTAACATTGAATGTTTTTGTCTGATAATTTCTGAATGGTCTTGGCAATTTTAGTTTCGTTTTTGAGTAGATAGTGAGTATATCCTTCAGCCACATTGGTAGACTTCCCGCCACCGTGTCTCTTCGAGTTTATTTCCAGCATTATCAGCAAATAACGTCGCTAAAGTTGGATGAATTATACGGCCTGTGTAATTTTTGGGATTGGGTGATTTTGAAAGTTCTACGATTTTCAATCCGAGATTCCCAAAACTATGAATACCAACAGATTGAATCAAAAATTTTCTTTTTTTGTAATTCAGGAATACTCTGATTTCTTCCTTTCAAGAAATGCGATAACCTTTGGGGAAGTGGCTATTTTCTTAATTAAAATGATGCTCCACAAGGAAGAGGATTTGACAATATCGCCCAATAAGACATATCCATCCATTTGGCGAACACATTTTTCGTACCTGGATTTTGATAATTCAGGCAATAATTGTGCAGTTGCAGCACATTTTCAAACCCACAATCGCTACGGTTTTTCATAGTTCATTGCGATTATTGCGGACTAAATAGTTTAATTAACGTGGAAATGGTTCGTTAGTTGTTGTAGATATGTCAATAAAGAATATACCAGAACTTGATTGCGAATTTATTGTTAATAAGTATAAATACTATCTCGAAATGAAGAATCAATGATTTCTCATAATTGAGATTTCGAGTCTTAGTTTAAATCATGGATAGTGGAAATACAATTTGAGTTGAGGTTATAAATAATACAGAAATGCTCCAAATTAACGTGACGAATTTATTCATCGCTGGTAATGTTATGTTGACGTGACTTAAATATTTAGCTGTTTCAATAGATTTTCGAAAACTATTGTAATCAAACTTCTACATGACGTTTTCACTAATTGCACATATTTTTGACAATAATTGATCGATTCTACATTTCAAAAATACCAACAACTTTGCTGCAGGCAATGAAATGTCACATGAAATTAATAATGCGTTGGTTTGCGAAAATTCATTCCGGAGATTAAAGCTCCGAAATGGTCGACCTAAAGCAATCCAAGGATTTGAGGACCCTGGTGGAGACTGACCCATCACAGGGCGGAAGAACTGGGCGACAGCTTCCATGCGGTTTTTAATGGTTTGAAACGAATGGGAAAAGTCAAAAAGCTCGAAAAGTAGGTGCCCCACCCACGATTTAAACGATCTACAGAAACTGTCACGTTTCGAAGTCTGTTCTTCTTTGCTTTTGCGCAAACAAAATCCAACCCACCAAAAAGAAAATGTCCTATTCTGACGAAATCGATGAAATTTACCGAAAGTTGCGTCAGTAGCAGCCGAAACTGGTCAACAGAAGAGGTCCGATCCTGCTCCCGTTGCACGTTCCGCAAATCATCGTCCAAAAATCAAACAAATTGAGCGTCGAAGTTCTGGTCCACCCACCATACTCCTCAGACCTCTGGCCAACCGCTTAATATCTTTTCATGTACTTCGAAAATGTTCTCACCGGTAGAACCTTCGCCATTCATGGCATTCATCAATATTTTTTCACGCTGTACAATGAATTATCTCTGAAGTGAGCAATAAAAAAATTTTCAGATCTCCTGATACATGTATGAAGGACGATCCAAGCTGAACAATTTATTTTTTGCTGATCCATCAACACCGACAACTCCCCAGATGGAATGAGTTTCGTCCTCTAGTAAATGACTCTCAGCTTTTCCGACAGTAAATCTTGGAAGACGCTGCTTTGGGGTCTGCCTCGAGTGTTTTCTCTGAGGACAGCCTACTAAGATGTCTCTGAGGAACGATACGTTACTTAAGAACATCTCGCTAACTTGGCGAGAGCTTCGCAAGTATGTCTGCTTGTTAATTAGTTGTTAAATTGGTGGAGGTCGTCCATTTGGGGTTTTCAAGAAAAATCACGGCCAAACAGATTTCCTTCAGTCGAAACTGCGTGATTGAGAGTAATAGAGTTCGCGAGAGGATAACTGGGGTATTCGTGATATTTCGAAAGGGGTAATATGAATGTTTAGAGTTCAATAGCATCTTTTAAATATGGAAGTCATTACATTCTGGTGAGAGAAATACTGAAGTGGTGGGAAAGAAAGAT